TCTGACTTATTTCACTTAGCATAATAACCGCAAGGTCCATCCATGTTGTCACAAATGCAAGATTTCATCTTTTTTATGGCTGACTAGTACTCCGTTTATTCCTAGTTATTTTATTATTTTCCTTGTGATTGTAAATGGGGTTGTTTTCTTAATTTCTCCTGATAGCTCATTGTTAGCACACAGAAATACAACAGATCTTTGTATGTTGATTTTGTACCCTACAATCTAAACAAATACAATATTGTTTATTATTTCTAATAGTTTTTAAATGTAGTCTTTAGGATTTTCTATATATAAAATCATGTCATCTACAAACAGTGACAGTTTTCCTTCTTCCTTTCTAATATGGATTGCTTTTGCTTCTCTTTCTTACCCAGTTACTCTGGCTAGGCCTTCTAAAATCATGTTGAATAAGAGTGGTAAGAGTGGGCATCCTTGTCTTGTTCCTAATTGTAGTGGGATAGCTTTACATTTTCTCACTACTGAGCATATTGTTAGCTGTGGATCTGTTAATCATAGTTATTTTAAAGATATTTTTCAATGTCAGTATTGAAATTGCCTGTTGGATTATTTATTTTTTTCTTAGTTTTCAGTTGTTTGGTTCAGTCTCCTGGCACGCTAGGTGATTTTTTATTTTAATGGCAGATGTGTGTCTGAAGTACATGAAGACTTGTAGCAGTTCTAGGTGATGTTATCTTCATCCAGAGAGAAAGTTTTATTCTGGCACATAATGAGGGTCAAGACCCATAACCTTGATACAAACAGGGAACAAAATGATTTCAAGTTTGCATTTCAGCCTCTGTGCGGGCGTGTCTCTTTCTACCTTGCAGTTGGTCCTAGGCCTTAGGCCTTCAGGATCTGAACCAAAAGCCCAGGGTGTTTACTGAGGTACCTCGTTATAGCACATCCTGAGCGCCAGTTTTGTCTCTTGATCACGGTGATAATGCAGGAATCTCTGCTTAGATCTTTAGCCTCCTAGCAGCCTCTTTGTACTGGTAACTTAGCATCTTGCCTGGTGTATATGCAGCTTCGAACTGTCGAAAGCCTTGAGAGGAAATTGCACATAGTCTGGCTGGTTTACTTCTTTATATTTCCGTTTTTTCCCTGGAATTTTGGCCTCTTAGATCCTGGTTTCCTACGTTACAGTGCACTTCAATTTTCCTCTTCCCAGCCCAATGAGACTGCTGCAAGTTCTTGGCCGATGGTTTCTGTTCAGCTTTTGCATCCTGTGTTGCAAGGCTGGAATTTCCCCAAAGGGAAAAAGCAGCTCTGAGTGTCCAGCTCTTCTTGGTGCATTTCCCTTCTTCATGATTTTGGCCCCTCAGGTCCTGATTTCTTTGGATGCTCACTGATGCCTTTAGAGATTTAAAAATTTTTTTTTAAATTTTGAAATAAACTTAGGCTTACAGAAAAGTTGCAAAATTAGTACAAAGAGCTCATAAATACCCTGTGAACAACTTTAACAAATAACCTTCATTATTTATATTTATAATTGAATATTGCCATCATTTCCAAGCTGGCAAGAGCAGAGCATGACTACTAACTAGTTGAAAGAAAAAAATGAAGGAGCCAGTGGATAAGATGATATTTTTGGTTCAGTGTACACTATTCCTCTGAGATTTTCCCTCATATTAGGTATCTCCCATGACAGATAAGGGTGAGAAATGCTCTATCACTTACTTTTCATACATTAATGTAACAATATCTACAGTTACGCCTATTCGCACCTGCTCCTGAATGCAGATGCCCCTCAGTGTGTTCAGAACGTCCATGAACATCCTTCCCCCTCCCTATGCTGCTATTGGTCCAGAATTCAATTTTATCGTTTTGTAAACTCACATATTTGCTTTTGCTTGTTTGTTTTTAAATCAGTAGTGACATGTGCCGCCAGCACCAGAGCCTACCAATTCCTGTTCTCACCATTGTTTCTTTGGTCCTTTCCATCTTGGTTCAATTTTTACCTCCTTGGTGAAGTAATTTAGCATTATTTTTATTAGAGGCTGTGATGGTCTGTATATATCTCTATTTTGTTCTCTCTTTCAAACAACAGTTTACGGAGACATAAAATTCCAAATTTTCACTTATTTCTTCTCAGCACTTTGAAGCTTTTCCTTCACTGTATCCTGGTATCCACTGTTGCCACAGAGAAATCTGCCAGTCGTATTGGTGCTTTGGCTATTTGTTTGTTTTTCCCCCATGATAGTTTTAGAAATTTTTATTCTTGAGATCTTGACATGTCTAGGTATGAATTAGTATTTATCTAGCTTAGCACTTGAGTGCACTTCCAAACCATAGACTCATTATCTTCCTTTAATTGTAAGGGAAAAAAATTGCTATTAACTCTTAAAATATTGATTCTCTTATATTCTGTCCTCTTTTCTGGAGTGCACATTGGATATTTCCTGGAGCCTTTCACTTATGCTCCATACTGATTGATTGATATTTCATAAGAAAAAAATAAAACCCTTTTTTCAAAAACATTTTTTGTTCTTTGAGAAAGTTTCTTAATGTTTTCCAGTTTACCAGTTCTCTTCCTGACTAGGCCCAGTCTAGAGTTCATGCATCTCTTGAATTTTTCATTTTCAGGACTACGTGTTTTTTATTTCCAAGATTTCTAATTTTGTAGAGCTATTTAAGAATTTCCCCCCTTCTTGTGTAACCACTTGCTCTTTATTAATCGAAGTTATTCCTTTGTTTATCGTATTGATAATGTCTAAACACACATATCAAGTCTTTGTCAGATTATTTCATAAAATTATTTTCACCAGGAGTGAATTCATGTTGTGATCTGTGATATTATTGGCTATCTTACTTGGTGTTATACCGATTTGTGTGCCTTAGAATTTAGGTTTATAGACTTAGTTTGAATCAGGGAAGATGTCTTTTTGTCACTTTTAACCCCTCTGTGCACGCTTCTGTCTAGCGGTTGTGATTTCTTCCACCTGGCTTCCCGAGGCCCCGATTCTGAGTGTTGGTTTCTGTTCTCTGGTAATATTGGTGTAAATCTCAATCTAGCCACGGAGCTGGGGGTAACCTGCTTGGTCCTTGGCTTTACGGCCACCCTGAGCCTGCAGATCCCCAAACACACTAACCACAGACAGCGGCTCGCATCTGGACATTTTTCCCGGCCTCTCTTTCTTTCGCGTCCCCTGGCTTTAAGCAGAGCTTGATTCTAGGCTTTCGTCTCATAGAACAGTTTAGATCCCTTTTTACCCAGCGGGAGCCAGACTGCTGGCTGCCAGAGCTTGTAGCAGACAAGTAGCCTGGCAAAACTGACGCTTCAACCCTGCTCACCGTACTGTATTTCTGTCCCTTTTCTGGTCCACCCAAAAGTGTCTTTTCTCTTTCTAAGCACTGCTTATGTTTCTGGTTTTCTTTTTTGATACTTCATCTGTGATTGTGATGTATTCAGTCTTAGGGAAAGTATCAGAGTTGAATTTATCTAGTCATTTTGACCAGAAGTAGAAGCTTCAGTATTTATGTATAGCTTCCAGCACTTAAATAGGACTGCAGTTTTTGCAACTCTGGAATGAGGTCAAGAGCCCTATGGTGATCAGCCCTATCTTTTTCATCTTTATGTCCCCCTGTCACATAGTAGATGCTCAATAATATTTGTTGAATGATGGTCAAGTATCAAATATCGTCACGTGATCTAGAGAGTTAATACCATATGTGTATTTACTCTTACTCTGGCAAAACAGCTGAACATCACTGGGGAGTTCAGGAAAAGCAGAAGAATGATCATGACTCTTAACCATGACACCTGTTGAGAAAAAAATCCCATATTGTTGCCTCCTTCCAAATAAGGAACAAATATTAATCACATTAGTTTCTGTTCTTTGAAGTGGGAACACTCATTCTACTGTACATACCGCTTTCTGAAAACAGAACACTGCCTCTGCCTACATTTCAGCTTTTGTTTTCCTTCCTTCTCCCTTGAGCACTGTTCATTATGGTTAAGCCAAATTTCTCACTGTTTCTTGAGTACATTTGTCCTACACCAGTGGTTCTCAACTGTCTGGAGACTATTGGTTTTCACAGCGGGTGTGTGTGTGCTGCTGGCTCCTAGTAGATAGAGGCCAGGGGTGCTATTAAACATCCTACAATGCAGAGGACAGCCGCCTCCACAAGAAATTATCTGGGCTAAATACTAGGGTGCCAAGGTGGAGAAGCTCTGCCCTACAAATTTGCTGCCTCTGGGTCTTTTTTCACGTTGCCTCATGCCAGAAGACTTCCTTCAGTCCTGCCTGTTGAAATGTCCCCTGTCCTTAAAAAGCTAGTTCAAATGTTAAGCCTTCCAGGAAGCAGATCTTGAATGAACCTACCCTTACCCCTCACACCTTAGCCCCTCAGAATTCTTTATGTGAATCACTAAAATGCCTGTCACTTAGTATGTTTACAATAATTTGTATTTAATAGTATTATTTTGTGTTGTTTGTATTATTTCTCCCTTATGTTTTAGTTGATTGTTGGTATATGAACTCTTTTGCTGAAATATGGGTTCCTGGGTGGCCAGGATTAATCTTACTTATCTGTTTCTTCTTTTTTTTTTAACTATTTTTTTATTGAGCTGTAGTCATTTTATTATTTAAAAAATTTGTTTAATGTTTTATTTATTTATTTATTTGTGGAGGAGAGGTAATTAACTTTTTTTTTTAAAACTAGATACTGGGGATTGAACCCAGGACCTCCAGCATCCTAATAAGCACACGCTCTACCACTGAGCTATACTCTCCCCTCTTGTTTATCTGTTTCTGCTACAGCGGCTTCCATGTGTTTTACATATAATAGGTGCATAATATCTATTGAATGAGTGAGAAATGTGTAACTTCCCATGTCCTTGGTTATGGTTACTCTTTTCAACAATTTTCTTAAAGGACTTAGTCTAAAAAAATCCAACAAGCTGAACCTGAGTTTTTGTTGTTGTTTGTTTGTAATAATTTGTGTCAAATACTGTGATAGCAAATGACTAATACAATAACTTGTGTTTATTTCTACAGCTATTTAGTGAAAAAATAAGTGGTGTAGAAGGAACGAAACTAGATGACGAATTTCTTGACATGGAACGGGTAAGAGAACATTTTAATGTAAATTGTATAATAAATATGACTTTCATCGTGGTAGGAAATATTATCAGAGTGGCGATCTTGGATGTTTGCAGTCAGGTGTGATTTATGGAATCTGAAAAAGGTCAGTTCTTTCACACTTCCTAGTCCAGATGAAGAGCCTGGATCTCGGAGGCGGGATATGGCTAACTAGTGCCCTCTCGTGGACAAAAGTCAGAATGCGCACAAAAGATGGTCAATCTTGGGAAACAGTTTAGGCCTAAGTAATTGGGACTATGTATCTTGGAGAGTCAAAATGTATTTCTGGGACAAGACTGTTCAAATATATAAATGTTGATTCAGTGTGTGGAAGACTCTGTTCCCATGTGTTCAAGTTGCTGCATAACAAACAGGTTTTATCCTGGTTCTGCCCCGAGGACCAGTTGGATAAGCTGTTTCAGTCTTTTCTGAACGTGTGCTCTGCTTGCTGCACACGGATGCTTTGAGGATCATGCAGAAAGTTACTGTGTATGAAAGCGTTTGGAAGAATGCAGCGCGCATGGTACAGAAGTGATTGTTAACAAATTCCGGAGGAAGACTGTAGATTCTTTGTCCCTAAACAGTCTTGCTGGTCAGCTGTGTGAAGGAGTTTAGGTGGAGGTGGTCGTGGGACCACCACTAATTACCAGCTTCCTCAGTTTCCTTCCCATTTGTTTCGGGCCCTTTAAGCATAGCCTTCTTTTAGTAATTAGACTTTCCAGATGAGAGAGGGCAGAAAGGACAAAGCATCTTTCCTCAGGTATGACATGGAGGATACGGGCTGTCGCAGGTAGTAGAGCGTTCAGCCAATGCTGGGGAACAAGTCCCTTGGTGGCGGAGAGGGAGGTGGTTTCTCTCTTCAGGATACCCTAGACCTGGCCACGCCGCCCTCCAGGGAGCTCCTTGTTTTCTGGATGAGCACAATTAATTTTCTAGAAATGTTAATGCCTAGATGGAAAAGCTTACTTTGTTTTGCTTTTGAAAAAGTTCATTTCTGAAGATTGAAAAACATAGAACATTTAAACATCATGGCATGCTGGAAATTACTTTAAGAATCACTTGATAAAGAAAGACATTTTGTGTAATTTTATCACTAACAGAGTGATTCCATTGAAATGTTAAATGTAAAAGCACATCTCAGGAATTTTAGTTTCTGCTGGTAGACTGAGACCCCTCTTGTTTACTTCCTTTCTCTCCCAAAACC